CTGGTGAGGACGAAAATGAAATGACAGACGAAAATGTCAGAGCAAAAATGACATTTGGAAAAATGTCAGAGCACTTTTGCAAATAGGTGATGTCCTGATAAATCGAGCAATATTTGAAGTTTACGCATCTACATCCTGAAAATATTGTAAGAGTTAATTTTGTTCCACAGAAATGGTAACATCTCAAACGTTACGTACACTTCTAGCAACTTTCCTCCGCTATTGCTGCTTCTAAGTTTCGAACAAACAGAATTCTGGGATACTTGGCTTCACCAAGTCCAGATAAGTCACCGGACACATGAGTGACCAGGCTGCAGTGTACGCGCTGTAATGCTCGCTTTGCTCACTGCTGCACCCATGGTTCGCAGAAACTTCTTTTATACCAGTCAGTACTGTGCAGGAAGCCACTGCAGTATTCTAGACGATAGGCGTCGCCGCCCAGACAGTATCACCAGATAAGGTGGTCAAGACTTTGTCAAGTGTGCTTTTTTTTTCCCCACAGACTCAAGTTTTCAATCTCCCTCTGTATATCTGTGTGTCTCTGCAGTGGCCTCAGCGCCAAGATACAAATATTGAAAGGTCATAACCAGCTGATGCCCCGCAAAAATTGTGTCACAGCTGACATCAAAATCACAGTGCGACACCAGCGATGTGTCGACTATAATAGCACTGTCACACAGACTAGCTGTAACACATGTTGTACGCTGCCTCCATCTGACAACAGAGCTCACTGCAGCCAGCTGGGCCGTCCCTGGAGTGGAGCGGACAGCAAACGTGCTCCCTCTACTGGACGTTGAAGTATGGTTTGTTAGCTCTGACCAACTATCTAACCTTTTTTTTTATGTAAAATTATTTGCAGGATTTGAAGAGATATCTTTACAAACAGTTGCAAAGGTGCGTATCATTAAAGTAACAAAATCTTCAATGTTACAGTCGACACTATCAGGATATTCAGTGTTTAATGAGGAAGTTTTGTTGTTTGTCTCCTTCAGCATTGAAGGTCTTCATGCTATTGTCGTCACTGATAGGGATGGTGTCCCGGTTATTAAAGGTAAGAAACATTCTGAATGGCTGGTTATTGCTGGTCTCACTGCTGTCGTGTGGAAAACTGTAAAATCCATGAGAGCAAAAGTAACAGAAGAGAAACTTGGTAGTAGAATTAAAGTGTGTTTGAATAGAGCCTAAAACCAGTTTCCACATTGGCCCTGATAGGAGTAGCTGCTCCTGAAGGTGGAAGTCAGCCAGGCGGGAAGTCCACGAGCTATCAGTTAGTCTGTGAATCGCTCAGACTCACATACTATTGCACAGAACATCAGAGCAGAGAGCACACTTGACTTACTTTGTTTGGCATAAGATGTTTTTTCTTTAAAAAAAAAGGATTTTTGTATTTTACTAAATATATTAATGTTTCAAATCTTTTCAAATTTGAATTTCCAAGAAATGTTATATATTAATTTAGAGAAAAATGTAACCAGTTGCTCTTTAGTGGAGAAAAAAGCAAATAAGTTGCATCATAAATATAGTGAATTATGCAGGTTTGGGCAGTATTTGAAATAGGGCTGCCACGATTAGTCGACCATCAAAATCGTCGACGACTGATTTAATAGTCGACGCGTCGTTTGAAGCTTTGTAAGATCACAAAAGACGCAGGAATGAGTAGCAGGATTTAAGAGTGTAATAA